GGGGGGATGCTGAGGGGATTGGGGTGCCCGGGGGGCGGGAGCGGCCGATGTGGGACACTGATCCCTCGCCCAGACAGGTCTCTCGTTTGTGTAAACGGGTAGATGTAGGCACCGACTTTTGGTGTGAACTTAAGAAAAAAAAAAAAAAGTCATGCACACGGTCTTTAGCAGCTTAATTCGCGTTACGCAAAATACGGAAAAATGCATGTATTTGTGGAACCAAAGTTTCAGACTGACGTTATTGAATTCTACACGCTTAACTTAAAAGCCAGGAAACTCAATGCAAAAAATGTTAGCGTCTTAAATTTTTCCAGTTAGTATTAAACTGCTAATATTTGTTGCAATCCTTACAGCAAAACGATCACAGTGTGCTTGTGCTTCACACGTTTTATACTAACACGAATGTTTTTTATGCTAATGTGAAGCTGAAGTTTGGTAAAGAGTGAAAACATAGCCTTGTATTTCCTTAGTCGTGAAACACTTCTGTTGCAGGTTTACATTGCTGCGCATTTTTCTTTATAGTGCAAGCCTTTTGTGTCCTTTTCCAGTAGCTCTCTGGAGATAAGACTTTCCCTTTCTGCCACAAAGTTAAAACACCTTGTTCCAGGAAAAAACTAGATTGTGTAGAAGTTTTGAGTATGGTAGCAAACTCTTGCTCTTACCAAATACCTGTTAAAATCTCTTTTTCTTTTTGATAGGTACCTGTAATTACAGGAGAGCAAAGGCTGACTAAATGTTTCTTAAAATAAATCACTAACAATGCACAGACGATCTAAGAATATAAATGCTTCCCTGGAAGTTAAAGAAAATGAGAGTAGTTACACTGAAGAGAAGGAAGAGGCCTCTTTCCCTGATGTGTCAAAAGACCAGAAGATTTGCAAAGTGATTAAATCAAAAGTCGCAAAGGCATCCAAGAAGGAGAATTTAAGTGATGGGAACCAGGCGCAGTTGGAAAAATGCACCCTGAAATACACCAAAGGCCTCGAGAAGAAATCATATCACAGGGAGGATGTTAGCTGTCAGTTTACTGAATGCATTTTCGATACACTAAAAGGGGATATGGTTGGTGAACATACCTTGCCTTTGAACAGTAAGGAAAATTTTTCAAGTAGACCTGTTTCTTTGGGGGCTGAATGCTACTTGACACCTAATAGAGATGAAGCAGAAGAAAAATCTGATTGTGCCATATCAGAGAAACAGAGGAAAAAACCTGTTGATTTGAGAACTGTAACAATTGCTGAATTTGGGATTACTCAAGAAAATTTTACTAAACAATCTATAGGTAAGGATGGCGTGCCTAACGACTGTTATCCTTCTCAGAGGGACATGTGGAGGTCATCTAGTCCAGCCTCTGATCAAAAGCTTCAGTTTAGGTCAGGTTCAGATTGTCTGGCTGAGTCTGAATATGCCCAAGTATAGGACTATGATATGATGTTGCTATAATTCCCTATTTAACTTTTCTTATGTCCAGTTGATTAAGTGTCAGTGAGTTTCACAAGGGAGTAGTAAGACAAATTCTGCAAGTATTGATAGACAGTTCCTTAACTAGCAATTGAAAAAGTAAAAGAAAGATAGCTCCTCACTTGGTATATAGTTTAGTTAATGTTTAACTTGCTTTTAGGAAGTTAATTTGCTTTTGCTCAGGAAGGTTTCTTGAGCTGAGCAGCTAACTTTGGATATTTTCATAAACAGCATAAATCACTCTTAAAAAAAAAAAAAAAGAAAAAAATTAACATTTTAGACCTTTAGGTATTCTTACCAAAAAAACTTTTTTTTTTTTTTTCCTCCCCCCTCTTCTCCTCTCCCCATTTCAGGGAAGTCTCCAACTTCATTAAAATATAGACGAAGATCAGCAATTGGAGTACGGGGATCACCAGAAAATAACACCCTTATTCAATACCTTGCCCAACAGAGAAGCAACAGGCAAAAAGCAGCTTTTACACAGGTGAGAGTTTTTCTTTAATATGTCAGTTTTGTCCCCCCCAGGAATCAACATACACTGGCAGAAAGAGAAGGCAAGTGTCAGGAAGAAGCCAGTAGGAGTAACCATGGCCTTAATTTTCTTGACCTCCCTTGGACACCTTACCTTAGAATAACAGGGTGTTAGAGGTTTTGTTTGTGTAGAGTCTGGAGTCTTTTCTCCATGTCTAGCTTGCTCACATATTTTAACTTTTGTTTACCATAACCTTTACTATCCTGTATTTGCCATGCTTGATTTTTGGCTCCTTAAATTGTTGATGGTTCAAAGTGAAGTAAATACTAGCATAAGTGACTTGGTTTTTAATCAGACTTGTTCTTAACTCATACTAGCATAGACTGTCAGAAAACAAATTCTGGATATGGTCTAGAGGGACAGATTATGAAAGGCAGTAAAACTTAACACATCTCTTGATACAGTTCCTTTTTTGCATATTTTTACCATACAACTACAGTTGCAGCCAGATTAAATACAAGATTTGTTTCTTTGAGTTTGTTTTATGCCAAAGGACAAATACAAAGTAATAAAGCCTGTGTCCTCTTGGGGGGGGGGGAAAGTCTCATGAGGTTTATTTTGTTTTGGCAGGTTAGTCCTTTTAAACGTGAAAATGTCAGGTTGTTGAAGGACAAGATAGATGTCTTTCAACAATCCTTTCAATCAGTACAAGAAGCTGAAGGGGAGACTGGCTTCTCTGGACTGTCACAAGTGGATGATGCTTCCCAGGAAGCAGACTGTTGTAAGTTGATTATATTTCTGGTCAATGATTTATCTTAAACATCAGGTCTTCTTTTAGGCCAAAAAGTACAAAACTACAAACACTTAATATAAAACCAAAAAATCTTCCTTTATAAGGATTGGCACAGGTTTTCTTGTTTGTTTAAACCCATCTTATTTCTTGGTGCACCCTGGGTTAATGGTTTCTCAGAATAACCTCTGAAGAAAAATGATAACTAGTATTTTTTGTGACTGTTTCCTTAGTTTTACTTTCTAGATTTATACCCTTTAATTGACTTTTCACTAAGCATTAGTGTTTTCACGCTTTTTCCATGAAACTGAGAATGGTTTTTATGACAACTGGTTTTAGCTGTTGTAACTGTTACCTCTCTTGATCGCGATGTGCAGAGTTTTGCTTAATAACTTTTAAGTGCAGTAATTTTAGAAATCACATCACATTACTGTGGTGTTAACATCCTTATTTCTTAATGAAAATAATAAGTATTGCAAAAGCAAGTCAGGGCAGTGCTGTGGTAACTGTGAGAAGATGATAATGTACAACAAACTACAGTGCTTTACTTCGCTGGTATTGGTGGTCTTAATAACATTTATATGAAAAGAATAACTTGCTTTGTTTTGAAGATTTGGTAATGTTCTTTTCAAAGTAGAACTAAAACATGCATGTGTCGTCTTTTTCTTGACTAGAAAATTACCTAGCTTTTTTAATTTCACCATCCTTTTGGTGAAGAAATGCAAGAAGAGCATTCATTGAAAACACTGAAGTTTGTGGTTTGTTGTTTGGGTTTTGTTCTGTTTTGTTTTTAATTGATGCAGCTCCAAACAAAGTACCTTATACAAAAGAGCAGAACCTGGATCAGTGGAGTGAAAAGTTCATGTCAGACAACAGTGGAGCTGATTTGAAAGAAAACTTAAGACAAAATTTGACCAACAGCACTAAGTCTGATACCAGGATCTGCACCATCTTGTCTTTGTGCCAAGATGTGGCTGTCACTGAACCTGCTGCTGCTGTTTCAAAGGTACTTCTGTGAGTGTGGGAAAAGAACATGGAGAAAATAAATAGCACAGCAAGGCTCCTTTGTAAGAATTTACATCTTGTTATGACAAGTCAAAGGAAGCAAAATCTTGCATGGACACTGATCCATTTGGACTGACAGTGAATATAGCCTAGCCTCAGATACTTGCTGCTGGCTCTTCTGAGGCTGTGCTTGGTTTTCTTTTACATGCAAGTGTTAAATGTGGATGCTATAAGCTGTTCTAGTCAATAAGATTATACTCTTTTCTGATAATCACATGGAAAAGCTTATTTTATTCTATTAATAAAATTTAAATATGTCCTAATTCTTTTGAATCTGCAGCTGTAACTATGTGAGATGTCAAATTCACAGATCTGGCAAATACAGCTTTTTCCAGCTGTCAAAACCAACTTTATTGATCATTGGGATGACTTTGAATACAATTTTTAATCTTCACCTTCTATCTGTTCAGCAGTTATTTGATATTCCATGCAAAAAAAAGGATGTACTTTGTATGCAGGTGGAGAAGTTAATTTGTCTTCTATATAAGTATGTCTAGTGATACTTTTATTAGTGTCGTATAAAAACAGCGATGATGGGGTCCATTTTGCTAGGTGTGTCCTCTGATGCTGCTGGACCTAGCAGCTTCTGAGTTGTAAAACAGTTGTGATAATGTAATACCTGTATGGAGGTTAGGAAGAAACTTCCTAAACTAGTGACTAAAATATACAGGTATTTCATTCCATCTTCTTTTCATTTCTGATATCTAATCCTTTTAAGCATTTAGCATTGGTGTTTGGGGAAAATAAATTCAACTAAAGTAGTGGATGATTGAGAAAGCTCTGAAATCCTTGTCTATGGGGATTAAAAAACTCTGTAGTGCATGCTATTTTAAAAGGCAGCATTTACAAGCAGCTTTTTATTTCTTTATCATGTTGTGTGGGTGTGTATATAAATAGATGCTACATATATATGTGTGTATATATATGTAAATCTTGTAACTTTTTTCTCTAGAAATGGGTTTATGAGCAACACAATCCTATTGAGTCATTGGAAGCTGTTCTAATTAGAGATACCTTAGAAACAGGCCATGGTAAGAGGATTCATCACTATTATAATCTTTGTTATATTCTTATTAGAAAGTAAAAATACTTAGAAAATTTGTAAGGAAATGTTTCACAAGTAGTCATCCCATGTCTGTCGTCTTGTCTACAATTTATAATGCAGTATTAACCTGATATAACTTTGACATAAAGGCTGATGGGGTGGGGAAAAAGGCACTGCAAATAATTATTTATTCAAGTGCTGCTGCAGAGAAGGCTAAAGTCCCAGTTTAAAAACTGAATTCAGAGCTTGTTCGGTACAGCATAGCATTAAACGTGTTTTTACTTAAGGACCGTTCCTAGGAAGGAAATAGCTTTTATGAGACGAGCTGAAATATTTGGAAGGTGGGGTAGGGCCTCTGGGGGTGGTATGTTGGCAGTTTGATTCTGATAGAAAAAGCAAGCTCAAACTGAGACACAGGCAGGGAATAATTGTTTAGAGTTTTCCTTAATTTTGCTAGTCAGGCCATTTTTAGGGAAAAGAGTATAGTTCAGTACTTCGTGCCTGTGAAGGAGAGAGGAATGTTAATGTACAGAGTGCCTCCATGTACATTAGAGAATACTCCCCGCCACACTTTACATGGATGAGAGAAATCCTTATGTGAAATGTCTTTTCCTTCATGCAATGCTCCCATTTTTCTTTTGTATGTTTTGTAAATTCCTCAAAATATGAAATGTACATGTGGCACAATAACAGTGGAAATTTAGAAACAAATGGATTTTTTTGTGATGTTGATGTACAGAATCTATGGAGATGTGTACATTTATAGTTCATGTTGCTAATACTAAAGTCTTCTCAATTTTACTTCAGTCTTTGTCATATCTGTCTACTTGCTCTAAAGATTTCAGTTCTGACCACATCGCTAAAGATGTTAGAAGTAATGTTATATCAGATCTAAGCAGAAAGAAAGTTAGTTTTGGAGAAGAACTGAGCCTGGAAATATTTGATGAAAGCAAGCCACCTATCACACCACCTATCACACCACTACAAACAGGAAATACTTCATTAAATGAACATATACAGAGTGGCTCCCATCTGCGATCTGTATTGAAGAAAACACCAGCGAAGCAACTAATGGATAGCATGAAGGTTGGTTAGCTGACTTATATGGAGGTACTGATACTAAGGATGAACTTCTGCAGTCGTTATTGAACTGGCAGAAGTTGAATTGTGGTTAAAGATACTTTTTGACTAACTGACATGCACTGGGAATAATTTAATGCTGTCAATGGATATCTGTTTGCTCTTTGGTCATCTTGGAAGCTTTGTTTGAAGCTTTAATGTTATGAGATGATCCATATGTGTGTTGTTGAGTTTTATTCATTTAGAAAGTGAGTAGGTTTTTTAAACAATTGGAGTGATTATTAAATGTTGCTTACAGAAAAAGTTATTTTCACTTTTGATTTGAACAAGGACAATATTTTAATTAAATGGTATTGAATAGATGATTGTGTCACTTAAATTTGATAGGAATACTTGGACGATGCAGTTGACGGAGGAGGAGGTGAATCTCTCGCAATCTCCAATTGTGGAAAAATCTTGGAAGCATTGCAAACAGGTCAGATTCCCCTTTGTTTTTTACACAGGCAGAGTATTATGTGGGATCATAAGGTTTTTCCTCTTTGGTAAATGTGAAGAATGATATGCATTAACCACCACTGAAGTAGCTCATGTGGCATCCTACTGTATGAAAATAAAGTTGGCAAGGAAAGTAATGTCTATTTAAAAAAAAAAAAAAAAAATCCCACCCCAAAACTTCAGAAAGCCTCTAATACCAGACTAGAATCACCTGTTTTTCAAGAAATTTTACACTTGTCAACTGAAACTTGTGGAACAGTTAGGCATTTCTAGTCTTCTTTTTTTTTTCTTCCTTAATTCTTGATACTGTAATAAAGCTATAGTGAAAATTCTGGTTGAATCCACAGGACAGGTAAAGGTGGTATTTTGCTGTTTGTTTGGGGGATGTGTGACTTCTTTAGAGAATGTTAAGACTCATAAAAAGACCTTGAAAAGTTTCTGCTCTATGAAAGTGCTGGTTTAAATTCACTAAGCAGTCTATGTATTTCATTACAATAGAGAAAACTGAAAGACATAGCTCTGAAAAGCCAAAGAGGAAAAGAGTTACTTTTGGAGAAGTTCTAAGCCCAGAAATATTTGATGAAACTTTGCCTGCAAATACTCCATTGCGCAAAGGAGCAACGCCAGTCCGTCATCCAGGATTACAAAGTAATAGCCCTTTTGCAAGGTCAAGTCTCATTGAAGAACCATTATCCCAGCCGAACTTTGATTGCAATGATGTAAGTTTTTTGTTGGTGCGGTTCGGGTTTCTTAACTATAAAAACAGCCTCCTGGTCTCTGTGAATGTTCAATTTTTGTTTAATTTTTTCCTCAGTCTGCTTGGTTTTCAAAAGGAATTGCTAAAATATTAAAATACAGTCTGCTTGAAGCTTTAAAATGACATTGAGAACTTTTGTTTTATGAATTCTAAATAGCATTTTGGCCTGTGGAGCTGTTTTTAAAGTTGAGTATTGGTAACACGTGAAATGTTTTTTGCCTTGGCTTATTCATATACTTTTGATACTGTATTTCTTTTTGCCATATATAGCAAATGAGCTGCTGCGTTCTTTAAGGTAAAAAAAAAAAAGCAAATTGCCTGGCTGTTCCAAACATTAATGGACCAGGCATTTTTCAGTATATATCTGGTATAGTATATTGCCAAAAAAAAAAAATTTTTTTTGTTTAAAGGAATGTCTTGAGCCTCTTCAAGAGTTAGTGGAGGGTCCTGTTGCTGCAGAAGACCTCTTACCTGTTGAAAATGCAGAAGGTAACCCCAACTTGTATTTTTGTCATTAGATAATGCATCTTTCTGTATCTGAAAATTGAGAGGTGACACAAGGGGTTTTTTGTTTGTTTGTTTTTATTCATGGGTTATTTCAATTGTGCTAAAATTTAAATGCTCTTGCTTTCTTCTGACGATCTTTGCAGTAGTTGCAGTGTTTACCTGTTGTTCAGGTTATCTGGATGTTATGAGACCTTGTGGTATTTTTCTGTGAAAGTGTCTGATCAAATTAGACTTACTGCTTTAAGCAATTTGGCTTACTGTCTTGTTTCTGATATTGCAATTTTGATGTCTTTAAAATAGCAAGCAAGACAACAACAACAACAAAAATTGAAAGGGGGTTGTGCATGTGTATGTATGTATCTCTATGAAAGCTCTGTAAGTGCTAATCATTTTGTTACCAAATCCTTACAAGTTTTGTTTTCCTGTTTTGTGAAGCAAGCTGTTTTGTTTTTTTTTTTTTTATTTTGCCATGTTTGATAGTCCTCAAGACTAAGTTACTAGTTACTGGGAACTAAGATGACTAAACATGCTGTGGACAATGTTAGAAATTATGTGGATAATTTCCTCAATGTGATTAACTTTTTGTGTTTAAACTGAATCAATATTCTTATTTTCTTCATATATAATAGCAGAAACTGACAAATCTGACATGATAAAAACTCGTTCTTCTACTAAAAGGAAGGTAAGTTTCTTTAGTGGTGAGGTTTGTTTTGTTTTGTTTTTTTAACGACTTCGGGCAGAATTGTTATCTTTTATATGTCCTGATGCTTGTAAGAGTTTTTACAGCTTCAGGTATGAGGTTTGTATATATCCAGGTATATGGAAATATCTCATGTTAGTGCAGGTAATTGTCTTAAGGAAATCTCATTTTTGAGTGAAAATGATTTTCCAGTTATTAAGAACACTTTTGGTTATAGCCCGATACTTAAATTTACTATTTCTGTTGAATTTTCCAGGAACTTTCCCAAACAGTCTGACAAAATTTGGAAGAGATTTATTCATAGACTTTCATTCATAGGGTCAGGGGCTTTGCTCATGGGACTCTAAAAACTTATAATCACAAAAAAATGAGGAGAATGGAAATGAAGTTTTCTGTCTAACTTTTCTATTTGGTTTAATTTCTTGGAGACACAGAAACATGAGATCGAGGCTAATAAAGTCAAGTTTATTCTGTAACCTGTGATGAATTTTCGGTATCAGTGAAAATGTGATTGTGTTCCCAAGTCCAGTGCTAAAGATTTTCAGTATTGTTAACCTTTTTGTCTGCTAGCCAAAAGGCAGACAGCATATGATACATGTATGTCTTCTGGTTTCTGGAATTTTAAGGTGCATAGAATTTGTAGTGCAACAATTTCTGTAAGAAGTGCTTTCAGACTTCAGTGTTCTACAGTTCTAGTGTGCTTTCCTCTGAAAGGAATAGCTGAAGATGAAAATGTACTATTTTCTCATTAGAATGTCCTTTTTGTACAAATAGGACTATATTGTACTGTGTGAAGAGACTAGCTTTATAAATCTTACTTTCCAGTTATGAGTGTCTAGCTTTTATGACCTCATGTATGAAGTAACAGAGACTAATTACAATGTGATTCTTATGACTGTTGGACTGTGGTGTATTTTTAAAAAAAGCAAGCTTATGCATGTGCACATACACATGCACCCCAACAACTGAAAAATTCATGTTCCTCAACAGTGTAGCACCGTTTCAGAGGGGACTGATTTTAGCATCTCAAGAGCCACAAATACTAAGAATGTTAAAGATACTAAAAATCCAAGAAAGAACAAGTTTCAAAAACAAAAGAATATAACCACATCTGCTGCCAAAAAGACACCAGTAAGTGACAGTCCACTGCAGTTGGTGAATGCTAAGTGTCTCGTGTGTGTTTTACGTGATTATTTTGATCTTTGTAGTAAAGATTTTCTAAAGGGCATTACGTTTCCTGTTGCTGCCAATACTTCTTCGTGCCTGTCTTGTTTTCCTACACTTACTGCCCTACCCCTCTTTCTTACTGCTTGTTAAGGGTGACTAGAAGGCTTTAAATACTTATAGGGCAAAAAGGATACTTTATGGAGGTGGAGGGGGGTGTGTGTCACTTTTCAGACTTCAGGGACATAAAACAAGTTTATGGTTCTTCTCTTACCGACTGTATGCAGTAGTAGTTCTTTGAACTCACCCAGTTATATGCTGGTTAAGTATTGTAAAGGCGTGAGACTTCTAAAAGATTTTTGCTTTCATGTATTGGAGGGAAAAGCACATATTCCTTTTCAAACTAAGCATGAATGAAGAACCTGTAGTTTTGAGCTGATGGACTAATTTCTTTGACTTCTAGATTTCGTTAAATGAAACAAAAATCAGATCTCATGTTTGAGAAGTAATTCTCCTTTGCTTTGAGTTTTTACGTTAATTTGTAGATGGCAGAATGAGTGGAACCTTCATTTTAGGGGAAACAATTGTTATCTATCAAAATGCAGTAATGGTGTCACTTACTTGTTGGAAAATATTGACAGGATCATTATAATTACATTGTGCTCTATTCAGTCTTCTCAATTATTTTCAGAAAATAAAACATACAGGCTATGGGAAAAGAAGAAAGAAAAAAGTAAAAAAATCTTTATATGGGGAAAGAGAGATGGCTTCTAAGAAACCTCTTCTCAGCCCTATCCCTGAAATTCCAGAGTTTTTCTCTTCTGCCTCATCTCCAAACTCACCAAAGGCAAATGTATTTTTTTCAGGTAATATGGCTTTTAGTTTTGTTTTGCCTTGCTCTTTGTGTTGCTTCTAATTTTTTATTTCAACAGTTGATAGTTATCTTGAGTTCTGTGCATAGGTAAAGAGCCCAGTATACATTTTTTACTTTTAATTGCCTCTGTAATAGTAGAGTCCAGAGGTTCTAACAGATTAATAATCTCTATCTCCAATTGGATACATTTAACTCTTGTTGGACTCCAGTGTAGAGCTGATTTAAAAAAAAACAAAAAAAACCCAAACCAAAACAAAGCCTCTCTGTTCTTTGACTGGATACTGATGTTCTCATAGTCTTTAAAACTGGTAAGTTGGGCATGAATAGTTAAGTGATGTGCAGTAGCTTTCTGGTTTGTTTGTTCTTTTTTTTGCCCTAGCTATCTGGAATGGTTACTTAGAAGGTTACTGTTATGTAAGTAAAATACTATAAAGCTTTTGTTCCAATATTTAAAAAAAAAGTTTTGTACATTCACAAGTAGAGTCAAGTAACCATGTGTTTATTCCAATTCAGAGGACCTGTTTTTAGACGATACCAAATCCGGGAATGCTCACAAGGATGTTCAACAGAAGCCAGCAGTTGAAAGAATGAGAGGGAGAAATGTCTGTGCGGTTCATATGTGTTCAAGCCCTAAGGACCTGGACATTGCAGAAGCCAGCAGTTCCAATAATACAGTGTTTCAGGTGTCAGATGGTGATCTGAAGTCTGTTCCTGGCATTGATCATAAGGTAACTGATATGCTTCATGATACTGCTAGAAAATAAGTCAGAATTGTGCTTGATGTTGTTGGATCAAAAAAGTCATGTTTTGGGGAAGAAAAAAAATAAGAGTGATTAAACATTGGAACAGGCTGCCTGGAGAGGCCAAGGAATCTCCATACTTGGAAGTAGGTATTCAGAACCCAACTGAACAAGGCCTCAAAGCAAGTTAAGTTTGGCCACACATTGGAGCAGACTGCAAGATGCAGGATTCTATGTGTTCATTGGGGTTTTCCGAGAATAACTAGACTTGGTGAGGAAGACGGTAGCAGTTGTTTAGTTGTCAGCTGTTTGAAAACAGTTTTTTGTGGATTACCTTTTGCCTATATTTAAAAAAAAACCAACTTTTTTCTTTTTTTTTTTTTCTCCCCAGTTTTCAAACATTGTGCCAGATGCAAAGTGTGGTTTTGTTACATCTGACTATTTCCAACAAGGTAAAGAGACTGCATGTGTAAAAGAGGCAAAAGAAAGTGGTTCCTTGATAGAAAATGAGAAATTACAAGGAAATCTCCTAAATAAGGCAGAGCGGCTAAGTGGGCTAGAATTTCTGGAACAAGAGGACACTAGTGTACCTGAAGGTGCCCAAAGAACTCGGTGTCCACCAAAAGATTCTATAAGAGGTAGTCCACCAAGGAGAAGAAGAAGTAGTAGTGCCATCTATTTTCCTCCTGTTGAAAAATTAGAAATAACTGGAAACGATTTTCCAGTTTCTTCTTTTAATGTGGAAGAAGTCTTATCTGTTCCTCAGCTAAAAAATGACTCCTTGGAGCCTTTTAGAAGAAAGAGCGATGACAATGGCGAAAGAAGAGTGAGGCGCAGCATGAGATTACATAAAGATGCAGAAATTGAAGGACTTGCATGGATTCAAGTACCCAATGAGATTCCAAAGAACCCTCCCCTGCTAGCTTCTGCTTGCAAAACCAGGAGAACAATAAGCACATCCATCCTTACAGAATCTGAGAATATTCACCATAGAGAACAAAATCTCATCCAGTTTTCAGCACCAGGGAAGGAGAACAATGACTCTGCTAATCCTGCTGATGGTCCTTGCAAAAGATGGAAGAGGAAAAGCATGTGTGTATCTACACCTCACGAAACAACAACTTGGTCTCAAACCCGGAAAAGGAGCATAACAAATTCTGTATATAGGAAGGTCAGAAGGAACCCAAAACACTATGAAGAAGTAGAAATACCTCTTGAAAATAACATTTAGCGAGGTTTCAGCTACCTCTGATTTTCTAAACTGAAGGTCAGTGTTAGATTCTTATGTTCTCTCCCTTAAGTGCTGTTTTCTTCTCTCTACCACTTATATTGCCTTACTTATTATTTCCTTATTAATTTTCTGGATAACTTAGAAGTGATTTTCTTGATGCCTAAAATGCTTGAAGATCAGAACTGCGTGGAAGACCTAGCTTGGCTCAAAGCATTGGTCTGATAGACAGTCATGGCAGGTAATCAAGAGGATAAAAAATTTTTCTCCCATGATGAAGTGAATTTGCCATCACCTCTTTATTGTAGTCTACATCCTTGCTTATGTGTTTTCATACTTTAGTGCTATCTATAGAGCAATAGCAATTAAACACTGCTAATACTATAAAAAACTCAACAAATAACCAGTTTTCTTTGCAACACCAGGTTCAGTCATTTCAAGAAGGCAAAGACAATTTTTCTGAGCTGAAAGGATTTCTTCTAGGGGCTAGTGAATTTTGTTGCAAGATACAGCAGCAAGACAAGATATAAAATTTAAATAATGTTTATGCATGCATTTGTATGGATGTTATCACAGTCTGGGATTTTATTGTGTTTAGATAAATGTTTACAGTTGTGATACCTGCACGTTAGTGTGGGATTTTTGCCCTTGAAACTTAGTCATGATTGTTAGACTAGATGTCTTTATTTGACCATCTTGCTATACTTGCTCCGCTTGCAAATGCACAATCAATATATGCAGTTGCTAAATGGAGACATGTCAGCAAATGTGTGACTCTCAGCTGTTTTAAGTAAAGAGGAACAAATCTGATGGTTCAAAAATATGATCTGTGGTGACAAGTAACTTTTTACATGATTGGGAGTTGATGCTAATCCATATTTTGCCGATAGGACTCTTTCCTTTTTTTGAAAGAGCAGAATTCAAGCTTAAGATTTTGTTATATTTTTGAAGTTTAATTGAAGCAGATGAAATGTGAATTTGATTTTAGTAGATAAACCACGATGTTGTAAAGTATGCCCTTTCAGCTAGAATTCCTTGAAGTGTTGATGTTTCCCATGTGCTTGATCATTCCTTATAAATTGCTTTTGAAATCTGCATGAATTTTCTTCCAGATTTCAAAAATATCCTAAAAAACCTCTTGAGATACTCTGCAAATAAGGAAGAACTCACTTCTGGCTTGAAGGGGAGGAGTAGAAGGCGGGGAAGCTGTTACCATCTTCTGAAAAGGCTTTGCTTTACCTTCTGGGCACGAATGGGGGTAGAGTTCCTATACATAAGACTAAATTTTGTGTTGGAAAGAGTTAATGAATTCTGCTTCTCTGCTGTGAAGGTTGGTCACTTAAAAAAAAAAAAAAAAAAGGCTTTTAAATCTTTATTGTATATAACATTAATTTTAAAAAATTAAATGGCCAAGGAAAGTAAAACATTCATCATAAAATAAAGCTGTACTTCATTTCTGGACACTTCCAATCTTTGGTGTGTGTATACTAAATACAGTGCATATTATTCAGTAGTTGACCTGTCATCTTACTGTTTTCATTTTTCTAGTTTGAACAATGTAATAAAAAGTGATGACTGTAGGTGGTCTACTTAAGTATTTGCTGTTGCTTTCATTTTTCATACTGTTCTGTTTCAGCCCTAGTCAAATACCTGTGCCAGCTTGAAGGAAATAGCTTTCTGTTGAAAATTATCTCTGCTGTGACCTTGTTTTTAACATTATTGATGTGGAATAAAATACTTTATGTACTTGGCTGCTTTTATAAAGCTTAAAAGCAAACAGAACAGTTTTCATTTTTATGCATGTTTTACTTTTCTCTACAGACATCATCAATTTTTCCCAAGACAAGAACTCCTAAGGCAATTTGAAAGAAACTTCACTACTTAAATGCTTTTCATCTTATGCTGCTTTAGAAACATTACTGAAATTATCAGAACAGTTTACTTGATGTTTTATTTTGGGGTTTGCTTTTGTGTCACAATGAAAAGTTTTAGATTTGGAAACAGAATGGCAATAGTTACTTGGGTTGAATCTTGTTGTGACAGCAGTGTGTTGGTTTACCAGGAGAGGGCAGTCTGACATGAGTTTTTATGGTTGTAACTGAATTTGAAAATAATATCATAATGTGCAAAACCTTTGAAGAGGTACTAGCGAAGGTTAAAATCTAAAACTCCTTGAGATTAAAACTAATAATAGCTGCTACTTCTAACATTCAAAAAAAGATCAAACCAGCAACTGAACTACGCACTGACATTAATCTGGAAAAAATGAAATGCTTATGCACTGCATTCAGATATGGCTTTCTATATGGAAATCACATTGCACTTTTAAACACAGTAGAGCACTACAGTTGAGCTGAGATGTTAGGGTTTGCCTAACAGCTTTTAGAAACCAAATATAGCAGTGAATGAAACCTTTGAAGATGGTAGGTATCGGATACTGAATACCAGACATGAATAGTCAGGTCAAGTAAAGAGTTGTCCTGGAGGAAGAGGCAATAAACTAGTATGTATGATACTAGAGGGCTTAATCTAAACTGCTGCCTAGAACGTGCTTTTTGCGCTGTTGCTGTCCTATGCATCAGTCACAGCAGCACTAGAAGCGAATTCTCCCTAGAGGTTTCTTGAGTGGGTAGGCTAAGTGCACTTTAGATGTGAAGTGAAGCGTAAGTAAAGTCAGAAATAGAAGAGCGAGGGTAAGGAGAAGAAAACAAAGCTTGGATTTTCCTCCTGGCACAGCTTGGTTGAAAAGGGTTGTTGGGAATTATATGTAGATGCTTGATGGCAGTTTGCATGGCTTTCGTGAGGGTGAGGTTGGAACCTACAGAGAAGTAAAGAGGTTGCAATTAACGGGGCTTAATCTGGAGAGGACTTGAGAGGAGACAAGTCTTCCCTTATGTGGAAGGTTGTTTTAAGTGGGGATGTAATAATCTGTTCTCCGTATCTGTACTGAATGGGACAAGAAATAATGTGTTTAATTAGAGAAAAATGTCTGTGTTAAACATTAAGAAAAAGTGCCAGCAGCAGAGATAGTTGAGCACGGGAATACGTTGCCTTGGGAAGTTGTGGAATCTCCATCAGTAGAGGCTTTTAGGAATAGATTAAACAAATATCTGTCAGGAATGACATATGATCCTTCCTAGGGGTAAGGATAGGGCCTGGATGGCCTCTTGAGGTCTTTTCTGGCTGTGTTTTCTGATTGCTAGAGATTAGGGTTGCAAGAGGTGATTTGGGACTTGCCTAATAGTTAAGAGCTGAGATAGAATCTGTCATGGAATAGGGAGCCGGAGCATTGCTAACACTGGGGGCTGTTTAGCATGGGAAGGAACTGGGGAATTTGGGAGAGCACTCTTCATGCAAGGCTAACAAAATAGTACTTTCAGATCTCACGTGACTCGCTGCTCTTCTGCAGAAGAGTATCTCTATAGACTCCTGAAATAGTGTAACCTACAACTTGGTGGCCATGCTGTTATGCAGGAAGTGTGAACAGCGGAGTGAACAATGCTGTTCCATTTTCAGATTTGCTTTTCTAAAATGGAGTTAACATTAACCTTTGAATGACCAGCAACTTTATTATCCCAGTTCAATCAAAAGTAGAACTTTCTGAAGTGGTCTCTTGTCTTCATTGCCATGGGGGGGTGTAGGAATTAAAATTAAGGTGTATTGCGTGCAAATGCAGATGGGTCTCAAGAGTCAAGATATTTTGAGTTTGTGGTTCTAGTTTTCAGCTGTTAATTGCAGCACTATCTCCAATAGATTTTAATGGTATTCTGTCACATTAGTTAGCTTAGTCACTCTAATAAAACAGTTTTATTTGCAGCGAAGTCAGAAGTGTAAAACTGAGTTGTGTTTCGGTTTGATCGGTGAAGCATCACTAGGCAGTATGTTAGACTGGGCAGCTGGCTGGTGCAGTCTCCCATTGTGAAGGCTAGCCTCTATAGTCTTCAATTTAAGTCACTGTTCTGACTTCTTTTTTTTGTGCAGTACTGAGCTCCATGTCAGTCTGTGCATTATAGTGGTATCTAAATAAATCTATGGTGTTGGCCACTCTCACCTCTCATTTACTCTCCCTGCTCTTCTAAAGGGAGGCTTTTTCTTTCTTTAGAGGGTTGTGATAAAAATTACTTTGTGTTTAAAAGTACTTCACTAACGTTAAGTGCCGTATTGTATAGACTTTAAATGGCTTCAAGTATGTTAGTAGCTAACACTAAGTGTATATTGCTGAATAATTGCATTTAGCAGATTGCCATGTAATTATCATGCTCTGACTGACATAGAGGACAAGTGGTGGGTCTTAGGAAGACTGATTATTTTGCCAATCTGTAATTATGATGTTGTTAATAAGTAAGAGTAATTAGGTGTCACTTCTGCTTGCACTACCCTATGAGGTGAAGTGTTGATACATTTTCAGATAGCTGAATATCTGACAACTAGCAGTAAGGACTATTTCACAGTTGGAATGGTGTTTGCTTAAATTTGCTTAATGTTAGTGGGCTGAAGATACAAAGAACAACAATACTTATACTTGGATTCTTTAAGAAATTTTAAAGGGAAAGTGTTAGTGTTTTCCAGGAATTATGCCAATATTTTGCCATAATTAAGATGCACATGAGTTACAAAAGTGGAGATGATATGACCAAGTTTTCTCACATGTGCGTTAACAGAAGTAAAAGTTGCTCAACCTGACACTCATGGTAAGCAGGGGAAAGAAAATAACAAGAATAGTATATGCTTTTATTTTTTTTTACCTTTAAAATAATCAGTTGTAAATTAAACTTCCTCTAGTTTACAGCTTATTTTTCTCTACTTGCTTCTGACTAATTGGGCAATAGAAGGGGATACTGAAACACCTAAATGTGCATATTAATTTCACTATTGTGTGTTCATCTAGTCTAGCTGCTGTTTAGAAATGCACTAAAATGTTTGTGCTCTACTCTTCCTCCTTCTCACTGAATCCTCTAGCACTCTTATAGTTTACTTAAACTTGGGAAGACTTTAGTGATGAA